TTTTTTATAGCGTTTTTAGAATTTTTTCCGGTTTTTTTATATGTTTTTTCTAAAATTTTTTATGATTTTTTAAATAGTTTTTAATGGATTTTCCGTATTTTTAGTAAATTTTCTGTCATTTTAATCATCATCTATAATTTTGAATAATTTAAAATAAATTTTTCTATTTTTTCTATAATTTTCTATAATTTTCTATATATATATACATATACATACATATACATATATACATATATTTTCTATAATGTTCTATCATTTTCTAGAATGTTCTATCATTTTCTAGAATGTTCTATCGTTTTCTATACATGTCTATGCACCGTCTATAAATTTTTAATATTTTTAAAATAACGTTTCTAGAACTTTTTAATTTTTTTTTAACCAATTTCCTATGAACGCCTGCCCTGCCCTGCTGCCCTCAGGTGGGAAACGAGGATCACTCCTAAAAATGGGATGATTTTGATCAGGAATTTGGGATATTTTGGGTTGTCAGGGAGGCTCAGATCAGGAATTTGGGATATTTTGGGTTGTCAGGGATGGCTGTGATCAGGAATTTGGGATATTTTGGGTTCTCAGGGATGATTTTGATCAGGAATTTGGGATATTTTGGGTTCTCAGTTACTCTCAGATCAGGAATTTGGGATATTTTGGGTTCTCGGGGATGCTGTGATCAGGAATTTGGGATATTTTGGGTTCTCAGTTACTCTCGGATCAGGAATTTGGGATATTTGGGGTTGTCAGGGATGCTCAGATCAGGAATTTGGGATATTTTGGGTTCTCAGTTTCTCTCAGATCAGGAATTTGGGATATTTTGGGTTCTCAGTTACTCTCGGATCAGGAATTTGGGATATTTTGGGTTCTCAGTTACTCTCGGATCAGGAATTTGGGATATTTTGGGTTCTCAGTTACTCTCAGATCAGGAATTTGGGATATTTTGGGTTCTCAGTTTCTCTCAGATCAGGAATTTGGGATATTTTGGGTTCTCAGGGATGCTCAGATCAGGAATTTGGGATATTTTGGGTTCTCAGTTACTCTCAGATCAGGAATTTGGGATATTTTGGGTTCTCAGGGATGACTTTGATCAGGAATTTGGGATATTTTGGGTTCTCAGTTACTCTCAGATCAGGAATTTGGGATATTTGGGGTTCTCAGGGATGGCTGTGATCAGGAATTTGGGATATTTTGGGTTCTCACTTACTCTCAGATCAGGAATTTGGGATATTTTGGGGGCTGGGTCCTCCCCGCTGATCCCGCATTCCCGCTCTCCGCAGCCGCCACCCTGGAGCGGAAATTCCGCCGGGATTCGCTTTTCTGTCCCGACGAGCTCGATTCGCTTTTCTCCTACTTCGACACCGGCGCCGGCGCCGGCCCGCGCAGTAAGTGCCAGCCCCGCCCTGCCGTGATCCC